TTATAGTCTTAACTCTTCAGTTGTTAAGTTATTTTTTTCCTATATTATAGTTATTATTTTAATAAAAACATTATTAGAATTAAAGGATTTTTTTTAATCTTTATTCTATTTATCTTGGAATTCAGAGAAATCTTCAAAAATCAAAATTTTTTATTTTATAAAAATATAAGGTACCTCAAGAGTTGTCCAAGTTGAACTTCATTATTGTTTTCCTGTTTATGTGAAAGTCTTTTTGATATCATTGAAGAATGATTAAAAAACATTTTTCTTTCTTTTATAGAACACAATCAGAGGTCTAAACTAAGAAAAAAAGCAATTGCACTCCGTATAATTTCTACAACTAAAATGTTTCGATTTAGTTTGTCTAAGTTGTTTTGAAAAGTTAATAATAATATAACATAACAGGATGTTATATTTTTTATCAAGTAGACTGTATACTAAGTAGGCACTAAGTAGTGGGTACTACCTACACGGCTACACGTAATAGGTACGTTAATACGGTTTATGAATTTATTATGATTTGTGAGTACACTACAAAATATAATAACAATTAATAATACAAATAACAACTGATATTTAATTTTAATAGGAATCCACACATATTATTAACACACTTGTAGACTAACAAACGCAAACTCAAACTAAATTATTTTTTTAACATTCCCGATGATAGTAAAGAAAAATGATACCTACATATTCTAATAGATAAAATTATTTCTGTAGATAGCTAAATGACAAAATATTGTGTATAATGTATGTATTACTATATTAGTCAGAATATTGTGCATTATTATAATGTTATAATTATACTGTAACATTAATTATAATTTATAACAAGTAGGCACAATTTTCGGGCGGCGGGTAATAACTGGGTCACATATTATCAACTTGCTATTCGTATAAAACATTTGTTTACCTTTTACTTACCGGAGATTTGAACACAAAATAAATCTATATTTTTTTAAGTGTACCCAGAGATTGGATGTATAACACATACATATACTAATATACAACTTTATTGACTAATTATTATTATTTTTTTTAATACATTATTAATACAATTATTTTTTAAGTAATGCTGTATTCAGATTTTATGAATCAAATTTAATACCTTAATACAAGGTCCATAAAATTAGTCAAATAAATATGAATTATTTATTTTCTGATACATACAAATTCATTTCTTACTATTATGGGCAGATCTCAATTTCGGAAATAACAATTTTGGATCGTCTTACCGTAAAATTTTCGATCGCTTTTCTTTTTGTGGTAGTTCTGATAGGTTGTTTTGTCTTCTCATCGTTATGTTCTAAGTTTAATTCATCTGTTAAATAAAAAAATAGTGACAACTAAACATAAAAAATTAACGGTTTTGACGTATTTCTTAAATTAGTGGAATTTATTTATATTTTTAATGTACGTGTTTTCCTGACACATCGCCAACGAGTTTTGACACATTGACTCCAGTAAGAAAAATAAAATTTATAATTATTAAAAATTAGTAATTTTATTCTTCTCTCCAACGTTATAATTTCCATTTTACTCGTACATTACCGAACTATACATATACAATACTAAACGTTAAACGTATAGTTTGCAATCAACTAAACGATCGCGATGTTCTATAATCTTTGTAAATTACATATTTAGCTATTTTTATCCGTTTCATTTGATGGCAGCCCTTGCTAATTCTATATAATTTAATTTCCTTTCGATAAGACACTCTGTCGCTTCAAGTAAAGTTTTGTGTCCACTGCAGTGTTGGTATTGAAATAATTTATATATGACACATTAATTTAATAGTGGCCCGATTACAGGATACATTGATAAAAAATCGTTGAAAATAGTGCAGCCGATCACCGGGTCTACCTGTTATTAATGTAAAACTTTAGTGGCCCAATAATCGTATACCTTCTTGATAAAAATTAATCGTGGCCCAATTCCCGGGTGCCTCGATTTTCACGACCTATCCAATGGGTACCATTTGTGTGGTGAGGGGAGGAAGGGTTATCGATGTGTGTTGATAATATTAGGAGTGGAAAAATGGACGAATGCAAGATTCTATACAAGACATGTCAGGTAAAAAATTACATGATATGTTATATTGTTATTCCTTATTTCCTAGTTTCCTACACGATAGAAAAAGATACAAAATATGTAAGTTCAGATATCTTAAAAAAGAGAAGTATTCAAGTATGATAACCTATATATACAACCTATACATTTTAATGTATATACACTATAAACACCATATACCTTATATTAATAAAAGGATATCTCAATAGGAATCTAATATAACTTTTATTGAAAACGATTCAGTATTTATTAAGTCCCTAGCTAACAGATAGAAAATAGACCAACATCCATCTTTATTCTTTATACATATTAATTATTATTATATAATTACTAATTAATAGAAATATATCACATATTTTTTTACAAATACAATTATATAAAAATAAATAAATCTTTAGTACGTCGTGTTGCTATCATTGATTACAGATGATAAAAATAGTATAATTTTAATTTTTTTTTTCATTCGATTATTCTACCTATATCTGGTGACAAAAATAAGGGTTGATATTAAAAAACTCAAATGGTATTGAGCATGGGTAAACCAAACTTATGAAAATTTTTAGATTTCCCAAAATGTGAACTTCTGCAGTACTTACTGTTACTGCAGCTATAAAACAGCAAACCGATTTCAATCTAAGGTCATCTGGCGACAGGTGAGATATTTAGTGGTGCATATAATATATAAAACAGGACGTCATACTGCATACTATTATGAATTAAATTAAGTATAATGTATATTGTAACATTCAGAGGTTGATTAGGATTTTCCAATACGAGGGTGGTAGATTAAAGGATTAAAGATTAACAACAAACCAGTTAAAATATAAATCTAGCAAGTAGCACTGTAGCAGATTTCTAAAGCAATCTCGGTCACTTTTAATATTACCAATGGTTTTATCTTTTATAGTAGGTATAATTTATATGAATGTTTAATATTCTATTGAATTAGGTATGAATAATAGTCAATTATTAAGTACCTATCTAATATTGGGTAGCACTGAACATATTTTAATGAATCAATGGTGAGCCAATAGTTCCTCAAACAAGATTTAGTGGCCCATGATTGGACTGTTTGGTTCATTTAACTTAAGGGTTCAAATTTAATCAACTTTTTATGTGACAGGGTATATAAGTGGCTATCTTAAATAGCGAGGGTTCAGCTAGTTTTTTTTAATTTTCTGTATCTCAAGATTGATAATTAGCTACGCAGCTTCAGCAGCTGTGCAATTATAAAAATATCCGAATATATAGATAAGTAAAGCAGTTCACCGGACAGTAGTTGTGAATTGTGATCGAAGATACAAATAAGATAAAATATGTTAAACCGTGGTTGTGAGCAAAAGACTAGGTATTGTAGGAGTCAGGACCACTAGTCAGGAGCATGGTTCATCTTTCAGTGTTGCAACATGGTCAGTACTCCGAACGGTGTCAAGACAATGCTAACTCGTGGCTCGTTCAACCCCAACCACATTTTCCATGACAATTGACGGATAAATAAATAAAAATATTTCGTTTCGTTTCTATTCTATTCTTTTCAACAGATTACACGGTTACCAGCAGTGTCCGACCTTGGTGCTCGTTTATGAAACGTACAATGTAAACAGCGTAAATCGTTATGTACCCATGGTAAGCATGTACCGAGTACCGTGTACGAGTCTTTCAGTCTTGTTATTGTTTATTTGTTGTGTAACGCACGCGCATGCGTACCGACTACACTGTTCCTACCTGTGGAATGTGGATATCTACTTTTTTTTGAATAGTCGTTTTTTTCTTACACAAATTTAATATTACCGCTCGTTATACTATGCTCATGGCGTTATTTGAATTTTAGAGACGAGTAGTTGACGACAGAAAGACTTGACTCTCTACAATCGAATTTTGCGTTTAATCTGACAAACACCCACTTATGTCTCTTGCGGGACACCAGAAGCAGTTGTTATTCACAACTGCAGTAGTTTTAGGAGTTTTACTTGGTGAGTAGTATATAGTTTCTATTATTTTATTCCTGCTCAAAAGCAAATTTAATATTTGCTATTAAATAGTTGTTAGGATGTATTATTTTAAATAGTTTACTTGGGAAATTAAATCACCAGATAACAAAAATTTGAATATATTTATGTTCCTACCTAGGTACAGTAATAACACTAATAACTTATAACTAACACATTATTTGTAGACGGGTTTTATTAACTTGTTACGACTACTGACATCACTGTCATCACAATTTAGTCTTAATATTAAAGTCTCTTGTACCTATAGGGGATAGTCATTTTATTGTAGGTTTAAATCTACTTGATTTAATTCTTAATTTGGTGCTTAAATTAAGATTTACACTGATAAGTATGACTGTAAGTTAGTAGAAAAAAGCATTATTTTTAGTTTACTGTGAGACTACGGTTTAAGATAGTTATATAGATAGATAGATTTCAATATTAAGCTATGCAAGAGACATAGTTTTCTTATCATTAAGTTGGAAATGGGTAGATACTATGTAATTTATATAATTTTGAAGTGAATTAAATGTATAGCCCTACTGGCTACTGATAAAATACAGAAATTAAGTACTTGTTAATTAATTATTTGCAAAAATGTTTTTTTAAGATCTTTAACAGTAATTTTGAACTTATATAATAATGTAAATATTGATTAACCATTTTGTATAGCCTGTTTAAATTTTATAAACTTCACTGTACTCCTATAACTGATTCTAATTTTTGAAGATGTACTTTTGATAGTTGATTAGCGAAGAGTTCTGTAACCATTGTTTAGAAAAATTGGTATGTGTATTAAAGTTACAATTCACCCTCTTTTTTCAAACTAATGTTAGGTAGGTATTATAGTTATATTTGTTCTTTACTAATAATTTATTGTTGTTGAATCTATTTATATTCTAAATATTTCAATTATATTTTCTTAAAAATATACCATTAAGACATTGCACTTATTGCATTCAATTTGTCTAGTGAAAACAGCTATTAATTCCCTTTCATGATCTATTAATGACTATTATAATGCAGTTATTTGGTTAAATTATTTACATATCAGGTAAGTTCTGTTTGCCAAGCATTGAAATCTGAAATCTGAAAATTGAATATTATTTTTTGTTTGTCAATACACAAGTTATTAGTCACTATAATATTGTAAGGACCAACCTTAATGTACTTTGAATCTTGGAACAAAATTATTTAATTATGTCTCATTATATAGTCTAAAATTAACCCATACTAATTTTAATTTAAAACTATTAGGTAGCTATGTGTATGCATATCATATAGCATGAGATCCCTTATTTAGTAATATATGTATCTGTAATCTGATACAGTGCTTAGATAGTGATAGTTATTGAGTGAACACGTTCCTTATTCATTTTTAGAAGTTTTATCGGTTCATACAGATAGTTTTTTAATCTAATCATATTATTTGTCACTTGTTATCCTAAAATATTGCTGACACAGAAAGATATTATATTTATGAACTAAATTATGTGTCAATTTAGAAGTACCTACATAATATGTAAGTATGTAGATTATAAAACAAAATAATTGTGATTATTTTATCAGTTAATTAAAATATTTTTGATTCAACAAATAAGTATCTAGGCGTGACATGCATTTATATTATTTTGAAGATATAAACAATTTATTTTACTATACTACCTATCAGTAAGTATTGGTATATTTTCCAGACCTCTTGAAATTATGAAACATGAGCTGAATTGGGATATGAAAATATTAGGTATTTAGAGCACAATAATTAATTAACTCCATTTAAATAGATTTTAAACTTTATCAAAAGAAATTAAATTTCATATATTTTTTTCTTAGATGTATTCATCAAGGTGAGTTGTAATTTCAGATGTTCAAACCAATGTTTTTTTTATTTTTCCCGCAGTGTTTTGACGTTTTATACTAAATAACAAAACCCATTTATTTCAATTTGCATTTACATTTTAAATCAATTTCCAATATTATTTATTTATTATTATATTTATAATATTATTATATATTTATTATATATATTATTATACACAATTTATTATGAATTATGAAGAATCCAGTAGCTTATGTGATCTTGATCTTGGTGTAATAATTATAATATACCTACTTCAAATAATTAGGAGAAATTACCAATTATTAGAAATTCTAACATTTATTATGGAGGTCGGAAACAGAATACAAGTATAAGACCCTAACCATATTTGAGTTAAGAGGTGTTGGTTAAAAATATACCTTATCTTGTAGCATGTTAAAGATTTAAATATTAAATACAATTTTGTTTACAGGCCGCTTGAGTGCTGGCCGCTCAAGCTCTGGCAGGGGGTCAAATTTGTCAATAGGGCCCAGATATAGTCCAACTTTCTTGTTGCCAGGATCAATGTTGTTGTTGGGACGGGTTGGGTCACAAACAAAGGAGAATGTACAGGGCTGGCGTAATCAAGACTCCCGTGGTAACCCATGAAACATAATCATACACATTAGCTCATATAGTTTATTAAGTTTGGTTATTTGTGGAAAGTTTGTGTTAATTTGTTTTCGATATAATATATTTATTATTATACTTATTTTAACCGTCTTAACCCATAAGCGATGCATGATATATTGATGTGTGTAGGTTTTATTAAAAATTAGATTACGTTAAACAAATAATAGAAAATAATTATGAAGTACATTTGTTTTCATTTTATTGTGCCAACACTCCATGATGGTTTTTTACAATGTAAATATTAAAAATATTTTCTGTTCAAATATTACAGTTGCATTTGTCAGTGATGTCGACAGCCGAAGTCAATATAAAGACAAACCCGAAGAGTCAGAAAAATCTCAATTACCACCAGTACACAAAAGTGAGTATGCTACATATTGATATAACTGACAGTCAAAAAATCATCTCAAATTCAATATAATATCATTGTTGATCTGCAGTCATATTTACCTACCTACCTCTTGATTGTGATGTTGTTTCAAAACCTAGATATTTATATTTTGTTTATCAAAAAGATACGAAACTGGTGCGCAAGAACTCTCTTCTTCATTCAGCATGGGTTATCATTGCAATAGTGTTAACAATTATATTCGGTGCCATAGCTGTCTACTATTGGGTTCTGTTTTATCCGATTCTGTGCAAGAAAGAGCGCAAGTATGACGTCATGCAAATGTCCGCCAAACCATAATGACTATGCATATAATTCAACAATCAAGAAATAAACATTAAAATCTCTAGGTGGTGGTGACTAACTGACTCTATTCTGAAAAAATTATCGTGATAATATAAATGTTTAAGAGAACGTAACGCTGACATTTGTTGTATCCGTGTTACAAATGTTTAACACACCGAATTTACCTTCAGCATATCACGTATTTGTGAGTTTAAAAATTGGAGTGAATTGAACTTTTATAAAACTTGATGGTAAGAATAATAAATATGTTTGTATGTGGGTATTTTACGACAATTCAGTTTTTGAGTAAGTTATGAGCATTTTTAATTTACTCTATATTTTATAATTAATACTTGCTAAAAAATTGAACTATTGTAAAAAACCTCCAACAAACACCAATTATGTTCTTTCTATCAGGCTTCATGACAGGTCGATTCACTCTAATTTTTAAACAAACAAAGCTACAAACTGAATGTAAATTCGCTATGTTAGGCACCTGTACGACGGGAGACAACAAATTACAGTAATAAATACTCTTCATGTAAAATAATTATTTGTATACCTTTAGAAGTTTCCTATTTTCTTTTTTATAAGCATTTTTACATTGTTTAAAATTATGACTGACTAAATTGATAAGATCTACAAACGGTGACTGCCTTTCAACAGTTCCTTAAATTATTTTAATGGACTTAAATATTTTATACTTTACCGTTTACAAAATAATATTTTTGAAATTTGTATTTATTTATAAAAGACTAATTAGTGCATTTTATTTTTTGTATACTCCATGCTTAATGCATACATTTCAAAGCTAAATAATTATTATATTATTAATCTAATTATAAATGTATTACATTTAGTGGCAAAAAACAATATTCAACAATTTTATTATTTTTATGGTGTTTTTAAACATTTGGTTTTTTAAAAATTATATTGTATTTTAATATTTAAGTGATTTGTTAATGTAAGAACTGAATAAAAAAAATCATTTTATTTGTTACTCGTGTTTTTATTTCTTAATATTATACTTATAAGTTATATTTCAATGCAATCATTAACCACATTCAATAGTTAAATGTAATATATAACAGTTCCAAGATTTCTTTTTTATGAATCAACTGTTTTATTTTCTATTAATATTAATATGAGTTAATTTATTCATCATTGTCATAACTATGTCTGAATTAAAGGTTTAGAAAGTAGGATGCCAACAATAATTAAAGAAAACTACTGATTTTTCAAAATTAAATAACAATTGCTATTAGTATTTTTAAGATTATTTTTTACATACAATGAAATTAAAACTATAATGTCAGTGACTAAGGAAGAACTAACCATTGAAAGCACTTTGGTGTGAATTTACAAATTAATTATGTTATTTGTGTCTTTAAATCATGTACAAGGTCTCGAGGGCCATTTTTCATGGAATTTATAACTAGAGTGCAGATGTTTATGCATTTAACAAATCTTTTAAAAAAATATTTAAATAAAGAGAGTAAGATATCAATTTGTTTCGTTACTCAAAGAATGAAAAGAAAATTAACAATTTTATCTATATTTTTTTGATTTTTATTTACTTGATCATACTTTTATATTCATCATGAATTTATGTTATATATTATGTAAAATATTCCATATACTTAGTTTTTAACACATAAGGATATTTTTTCAGAAAAACCAACAGTTCATAAGGTTTATTCTGAACATTATTTACTGTTGAACATTTTTAATAAATAAAATAAACCTTCCTAAAATTAATGAATTTTTATTGATGCATATTTTGAGTACATTTTAAGAATATTTTTATGCTGTGTATCACATAACCGAGCATGAGATAAGTGCATGAATATTTTCATATTTTAGAATATACGCATCTAATTCCTACAAATAACAGTTATTTTTTTTAGTATAGATATTTACTTTTTTTGATACCTATATTTTGTAATATAAAATATATTTCCTTATACTAGAAGTCTAGAAATACATGTAAATATTATTAGTTATGTATTTATAACACTTATTAAAATAAAAGTATAAAAAATTAGTTAATTACCTAACTTAGGATTGATATTGTTAAATCTTAAAACAATTATAAGCAGATCCTCCATCAGAAGGAAGGTTTGAAGGCATACTTTTTAAGAAAAATATCTTCTCACATACAAAAATTAATAAAATGAATACATACAAATATTTTAATAAAGAAAAATTACACTGGAAGTACTGAACACCGTGGGCCATTGTTCCAAAATCAAGAATTCTGCTAATAACTATAAGGTTATGCTTAGTTGAAAAAAATAAAATAGATTATTTTGATGGTTCCCTAAAATTTAATGGACCAATCATTGAAAATCAAATCATATTTAAGGGATTATTAGTTCAATATACTGGCTGTTTTTCTAGGCTTAGTTTGATTTATAATTAAATGTTAAGTGATTAAATATGCGACCCGACATTAAAGCCAAATAGATAAATATTTAAGTACACAAGTTCAGAAAGAAATCAAGTTTCATATTACCTATACACTACTTACATTAAGAAACCTTGGCAGCTTGTGCACAGTAGTGTAGCTTAGCACAGCAGACATACTGATGTTTGACTCGTTGGGGGCAAAACAAGGGTTTCCTGAAAACCGTGCAACAAAAACTAGTTGTCGCAGAGGTTTTTTCTTCATGTGAATAGAGCACAGTTCATTTTAAACCATTTCAAGCATACTTTTTTGAAAATATTTTTGCTCATTATCATATATTTAACAATAATTTCCTATTTATATTAATAAAATATTAATGTTTCAAATAAATGCCTTTATTTAATTTTCTGAAGGGTTTGATTTTTCAAATTACATATTACAAATTCATATTATTACAAATTTCTAATAGCATCATCAAATTTGATTTTATACATAGTATCAACTTGGCCGATACAATAAACACAATTTACTGACAAATTTATTGCAGATTTCTGATCTACAAACTAATACATTTAATTCTAAATAATGTATTATAAGTGTGCGCCATGAATAATTCAATTAATAATCATTATTACTTTCAAAGATTATAAAATACAATAAGTTCCCATTTTTAGAAATTATTACTATTATTAATTATAATAAATACCATCAAACAATTTAATCAACTACGGATTATAATGGATCTTTAAAAATAATAATAATAAAAATTAAATAAAAAAACATTCTTCAAAAATTGAACTCTGATATTACCTTAAAAAAGAATATTACACATAAATAGGTGGAAATCTAGGTATTATTTAGATTAATTTAACAACTAGTTAATTAATAAGTTACAAATTATAAGTGTAAATGTTTTTCAAATCAATATTAATTTTCTGATTATAATACGTTAGTTTATTGAAGTTTAAATCAGAAGGATGACTGTTAAGTGTTACAATTAAACATTTTATTAGCAAAACTTGTTCAGTCTTAAAAAAATATAAAATATAAAAAAAAAGGGAGACTGGAGATGTGTTTATAATTCTTCTTTAGGAAGATCGTCTAAGTCGACATCAGATAAATCAATATCATCGGCAGTTGGTAATTCACCATCTTTACCATCCCAAGGTTCAGTTGCTTGAATTTCTGGTAATGCAGCACCTTTAACTGGAGCAGTTGTACCACGACCGTAAGACAGATCTCTGTTGAAGCATGGAAACATTAGTATACACTTGAAATCAATTTATAAAAAAAAACAATAGATAACTATTGCATACCTTAAAAATTCCTTAATTCCATCTTCTGAAAATGACCCTCTTAAAATTGAATATTTCATTTTTTTAACATTCAGCACAGCCAAAGCGGGATATCCAAAACCACCGATTTCTAGTGTTGATTCCAATTCTGGTTGCTTGCCTGCTTCCGCCCACAACCACCTAACAAAAGTTTTTTTAGTAAAATCATAATAAACAATTAACTATGAACTGTTGTAAGGAAAAATACAATTGGAAAAAGAATAAGAAACAAAATCAAAGATAGGTGAAATGTGTGGAAAATGTATGATGTAAAAAAATGTATATATTGAAACAAAATTTACCCCCAAAGTTTTTGTTTGAATTTATCTCCTAAAGAGCGTAATGTATTCAGGTACTCATTACGACAGCTGGCCTGGCAATCTAAAATGTGGGGTAGTACAGAGACCACACACAGAGCATGCTCGGAGCACCCAGCTTTGAATGTATCTTCATTTACAATCTATTCATAGACAATTTAATTTAAGTTATCATAGTTTAATGAGTCATTTAACTTTCCAAAATCTTACCTCAATGATGTCTGGTGGTGGTACATTTTCTTGATGTTTTTGCATTGCCCAGCTAACAATGTCTGAAGATGTTCTTCCTCCAGTATATTCTTCAGCTCCACTTGAACTGGATGTACCTGATGGGAAGAATTTAATAGTGGGATATCCACGAATGTTGAATTCTTGAGCTTTGGAAGAGTGTACAGTAGCATCTAATGCTCCGAGTTTAACCTTAAAAGCATAAATAATCATATAGACTCAATTTTTAAATGTTTAGGGGCCAAAATGATTGCTTTACTTTTCCTTTAAGTTCTGAAGCAGCTGCTGCCCAATGAGGAGCCAAGTTTTTACAATGTCCACACCATGGGGCAAAGAATTCAACCAACCAAATATCATCAGAATTCAATACAAGCTTATCGAAATTTGAATCAGTCAGTTCAACAACGTCGTCACCAGATGATGATTTTTTAGAGGATTTAGAGGATCCATAAGGTACACCTTGGAGGTTAGCGCTAATGGCGTTCTTAATGGCTTTGGTGACCTCATCGGTAATACCAACGGCCGTTCGATCTCCGGTGAAATCTTGTGGTTTGTTCTTATCGACAAATATTTTGACAGTAGGAAAACCTTGTACGCCATAACGGCCTGCAAAAGATGGATACTTATCGGCATCTATGGCAGCCACTTTGACGATACCCTGCAAAAAACGAACGGAGCTAAAGCATAAGAATCTGGCCAGCAGTTTGAGCGCGTAAAACACTCGAAAGTACTATACCTTCAGGGCTTTGGCGGCTTTCGAATATTCGGGCACAAGTCGCTGGCAGTGCCCGCACCACGGGGCGTAGAACTCGACCACCCATATCTCGACGCTCTGGAGCACCTGGTTGAAATTGTCGTCGGTGAGTTCGATGACGTCCGAATTGGACGGATATATGGCCACCGCGGAATTGGCGAGGGCCACCAAAAAAACGTCTGCAAAAACCAAAAGAACAAAATATAACGAACAATAAATTGGACGCGATTGCGAATCAGAAAACGAGCGTTCGATGTAGGCACTACTTACAGCACAGCGGATTCATATCAGTCGGCGTTTTATTCTTACAACGAACAGATTTCGGAGATCGAGAACAAAGGAATAATATACTAGACGCGCGCAATGGGAGTCGGGGGACGAATGTGCCGGAGTGTCGCTCGATCGGACGACGACAGGACGTTCATATGGCACTCGCGAGTGTGGGCGATAAGGAAATCGGCGTGTTCACCGCCGGCTGGTTGTTCGGTGAGTGGAGGCGTGGAGCGTCCTTTGTCGACGTGCGCGCGACCGATTAGGTTCGCGATTTGTGTCTGTGTCTCGGCTGTTTATGCGGTACTCGGCGGAAGAGACGAAATAACGTCGGCGGCGACAACCAAAATCTCTCGGCTTTCGCGTTATCGACACGGACGTGTTATCATCGGCAGCCGCTCGTGGTCCGCTCTCATTGGTCGATGAGTTCGCGCCGCCACCAACGCCGCTGCACCGCCGCACGACGTCGATGAGATTGTAAAAAACTTATATAGTGCCAAAATTAAAATATTATGCTTGTGCCACAGATCTCGTAGTAATCGGTTACTCGGTTCATCAACCGATAAAACCGCGTTTGAGCATATTTTGCCCGGTCTCCGTGAAAAGATAACGACGGCCGGACGATTGCCCGGCGCATTCGAATAACATGCGCTGTCTGAGCAGCATTACAGCAGATAATAAAGATTGTAAATCATAACAACCACATTGCATACGACTATTACGACTATACGAGTAGCGAGATTTAATTTTGGTTCGGCCTCGGAAATTATCGATGCCTAACTAACATACTTACATAATATTGTCAAGAGATTTTACTTTATTTACTTTATCATATCATATCATAAAATATAAATAATGACTAGGTACGCTCAGAATCAAAAACACTACGCACATCATTGTGAACACAATGCATTCACTTGCTACACTCATAATTTAAAATTAAAGTAGTTACATAGGTTTATCACCTACTAATACAATTTACAGTACCTACCAATTATTAATTACCATTGTATTGTACAATTGTACAACTTAAGTAATAACTTAACTTTTAACATATCAGTCAAACTCAGCTGATGCCTGAAAAAAGTGGAAAGGGAAATTTTAAAATTGTGTTATGTGGCCGTGTAAGGTATTATAAAAACCAGGCATGTTATTCGGTTCCACCCTTTAAAAAATACGCACACAATTTGGCCCAAATTTCAGGTTGAGCACTCAATTTGAATGAGGCCAGTGTATTCCGAACTTACTTGTCTACGGCAGTCAGGACGTCAGGTAGGTTTTTACTATACGTAGTAAGTTATATCTGGTATATAACGGTAATAATAATCTGGTATATATGAGCACCGTCCTCACCAAGTGATTTATAGTTCTTCAATCGCCTTATTTGTAATTCAATTTCTTGTTTTGACGGTATTGTACATTCATTTAGGTTGGGTTCTGTCCTTGTCCAAGTAAAGGTTTCTATGGGATCGTTGCAGTTAAGAAGATGTTCGAAATACGTTTTCCATCTCTCTACAATATCTGATCGTGCAGTAATTAATGTTTTATCTTCATTTACTAGGAACATTTCATATTTTTTGTAACCTCCCTTTAGTGTATTAATTTTTTTGTATAATTGGCGTGTATTATGTTCATTGTGATATTTTTCTGCTTCTTCCAAAATGTTTTTCGTATAGACTCTTTTTTCATACTTAAAGGTTCGACTTGCTTCTTTTCTGCTTTCATTATACTTTGTTTTGTTTTCTTCATGGGAAGGGTCATTAAGGTACAAGTTTCTAAATTTTTTCCTTTGATTTAGGGCTTTCTCATATCTCTCATTGAACCACGGTTTTTTAGTGTTTTTTTAGTTTTCCCAGGACTTCAGCTGATGTTTCTTTTATTGTCTCCTGTACCCTCCTCCACATATTATTTATTGAGTCTATACTATCTATATTTAATTCACTGCTGCGTTTGTGTATCTCACTTTTAAAACGTTTACAGAAAATTTCATCTGTGAACTTAGTAATATCATATCTGTCTATTACGATTGGCCTTGTTGCCACCCTTCTCTTCACTCTTGCTTTAATTTTTACCTTAACCAAATAGTGGTCAGAGTCACAGTCCGCTCCTCGCATCGTTTTGACATCCGTAATACTGTTTTTGAACCTGTTATTGACTAGTACATGGTCAATTTGATTTGTGTGATTCCCATCTGGTGACTTCCATGTTCCCTTATTGACCTTTTTATGGGGAAACATTGTGCTCTTGATCACTAAGCCTTTGCTCGTTGCAAAGTCGATTAGGCTGAGGCCATTATTGTTAGTTACTTCATGTAAGCTATGGTGGCTAATGGTTGGTTTAAATATTAATTCTTTTCCTACTTTTGCATTAAGGTCTCCTAATATAACCACTATTCTGTTATTAGGTCCATATACTACGTTCGTTAATTCATCATAGAAGTCGTCATTTTCTTCTTGAGTCTTTTCCTCAGTAGGGGCATGAACACTAATAATTGTGAGATTAAACCAGTATGCTTTAATAGTTAATAGTGATATTCTCAGGTTAAATGTCTTAAATTCCACATTGACTTGTGAACTATGAAACCCGTACCAAATTGTCGTCGATCATCGCAATCCCCTTAGAAAATGGTATGATTATTAATGTCCAAGGATCCCGTTCCTTGCCATCTAATTTCTTGGAAAGCCACAATTTTAAGTTTATATCTCCCTATTTCTTGCGTCACTGTATGTGCCGCTCCAGTGCTGTATAATGTGCGAACGTTCCATGTACCCAAAGATATTTCCGATTTCCAGTTTCCATTTTTGTTTTCCTTATCTCCACTATTCAGAGGCTTTTTGTTTGGTTCCTGAACATAAGTTTTTTTACGAGGCTGGGTTGTTAACCCAGCGCCCAACCCCCAACCTGGAGGGCCAGACCACTCCAATCACTTAAGACCAGAGTGGGGCTATTGCAGCGCCCAATGAAGGGTACTGGGCGATGGGGACGCTACTTTCCCAACGCCGGACATTTTCAACAATACCGCAGCGATTATATCGTCACGGATTTGCTTACTTTCTTTTTCTCGCCAGGTGGCTTGAGAACAACAGACTTTAACATCTCCGCGGTTATTGGGGTCCTCCCAGACACTTTCTCAACTTTCGCTGAAAAGGGTTTGCTCACTCTCTTCCTCTCGCCAGGTGGCTTGAGAACAACAGACTTTAGGATCTCAGTGGTTATTGGGATCCTCCCATACACTTGTTCACCTTTCGCTGTTGAAGAAGAGCTGGATTTGTCTGAATCCGATTTTTTCGGAATATTCTGAGACAACGGCGCCGGGGGTGCGGGTGGCAGTGGTTGACAAAATACACTAGTCGACGGGGGTGCAGGTGGCGATGGAGGCAAAACTGCTCCACTCGGCCCGGGTTTTGCCGTTGGTGGCATATCATAATATGATGGAGCTGCAGCGAATGAAGCTTGTTCGTTGTAACAACGGTTATCGGGAGGAAACATTCCAGGGGACCCGAAGGATTGTGGTCTAGTCCACTCCAACGAACGCAGTGAAAAGTTCAAACCGATAATATGTGATGAATTTTTCATTACATCTCCTGCACACATACATATCGTACACATAAAAAAAAAATTGTTAAGTAAGAACTATAAAATTGATTCATGAGTATACATCAAAATGACATAGACAATGTATATCATACTTTCTAGGGCTGCAATCCTAGTCTTAATATCATTATATTTGCGCATCGGCTTCTCTGAATTATCTTTATACAAACAAACATCATAATATATAATATATAATATATGATAATTACATACGTGTTTTAGATAAAAATTACTAATTACTTTCTAATGAAATCAATTTGTTTTCCATCTCGTGGAAACTTGTATTTAACATTCCATAACAGTGTTTGATACTTTTAACGTCACAGCCGATGGTCTTTAATTCATCGTCAATTTTTTCCATCAACGATCGTTGGTAATTTGACAATTTGGTGTCTACCTTGTTGTCTAAATCTTGCACCGCGGATAGGGACAATTCACTCTCGGTCTGTGTGTGTGCAGATTGTGTCAACTTCGATGACATAAGATCTTCAAGTTGACGCAACTACAGAATGCGAAATAAAATAATTCTTTACTTAGGTTATAAATTAATTTAGCCCTGGTCAAGTCTATGATCATTTTTAATTGAGTTAAGAGGACGTATGGGTACCCACGTGTATTGTCTTCATCTTCTAGGTGGGTAACATAGACTGCAGTTGTACGCTTAGCAGATCACGTTTAGGTCTGGGATATTAGAAATTAAAGTGAAAAATTATCTAGGGCATCTCATGGACTTCTTATTATATTTTTATTTTAATGCGAGGTATGAATATTTTAAAATTGTATATTGTTTGTATATCTTAAAATACTCATATCCTGGTTTAAAATTAAAATATAATAAAAAGCCAATGCGATCTCCTAGATAATAATTTAAGATGCAAATTGTATAAGAGGTCAATTCATTCTAATGTTTAAGCTAGCGAAGCTTTACTAGTAACTTACAGTTACTTTACTGCTGAATGTAACATTTGCTGGGTATATGTTATGGACTTGTTTAAACAAGACTTTGTTACACTTGTAACCACACATGAGGGTATACTAATGTGTATAACTTCCTCATAAATTGATAGAAAAAATTTTAAGAAATTTTAAGTTAATTATAGTTATGATTTTTTTTTTTTTAAATCAGGTAAGTTATAAGTTTATGGAAAATTAAAATTAATTTATTAACTTCAGTAAGTTATATAAAAAAATATACATAGGAAGAAGGTCCGCAACCTTAACATGTCTTAAAATAATAAAAATAATAAATATTATTGACAATATTGGCTGTTTATAAACATAAACATTGGACAACCCAATTCTGTTCAACTTTTAATTTAAAAACTTAAAATAGTTATAAGTTATAACTTATTTTTGTTATTTTATACCAATATGATGAAAATATTTTATAATGTTCTTAAGAATCGTACATTTGTACCTACCTATGTATCATGTTAGTATTTATTTTTATAAACATGCAATATTATGTATCATTAAAAATATTATTATTAAAGTATGCCCGTACGCCGTGTTATGGTATGGTATATATATATATGTATATAATTCAGTTATTTTTATAGGACAATTATTCTGATTAACGGGAACAAGAATTCAATTAAATTTTTAATTCCTATAATTTTAGTAAAATGTAATGTTTATGCGATTTGCATTATCAATAATCATTGCTACATTATATTTATATTTAATTATTTATAAATTAATGTAACTTGGATTTTATCAAAAGTAACTTCTTATTTATTCAGTTTATATCAATAAGAATTAGTAAATGAAAATTTTATTTGAAATAGAGGTCAGCGTTTTTTTTTTAAATGTTTAACTATTATCTGCTGTACGTACATTATAGGCTATAGGTGTCTAGGGAGTCGCTGTAATGGGGTGTTAAATTTGAATTCAATGACATAAATACATTGCATACGAAATACGATTCTGAAATAACACGGTATCTGACGGCCTATAATAACACTAAGTAGGTGTATTTTGTAATATTGTGATTGAAGTAATTTTACTGTATAATAATAGGCATTATACTATAATAGTACTAAAGTAGGTTAAATTCATTTTTGTCTAAAAAAATTAATTCGAAAATTTCATTAGGTGTATAAAAAAAAAAATATGCCAATTTTAAGTTTCAAGTACCCACGAATAATATTTTTAAATTACAATTTACAACAAAATAACTAAACAATATTTATACCAAAGTAAGCCAATTTTGCATTTCTGATTTATATTTTCTGATTTACTGAACAATTTCAAACAATAATGTATCGTTACTTATTTTTTTTAGTTTTTATGAAATTGGTTTGGTAGGATAGGCGTTTGGTGGTATGGGGGCGTAGCCCCCACGGATCTGCGTCCTCTGCATAATTTTAGCACCCCCAGTGTTTGGTCAATAGTTGCACCTATGACGTACGCTCGGAGTGTTGCCGCAGATTGAGCGAACGACCGCGCCTCACCAAGCCACTATATCAGTCTTTAATAATCGGCTTACGCCGCTTAAACTTTAATTTATAACTGGCACAAATTTTGGTCTCAAAAAATGTGCTGTTAGAATTTGTATAGGTTTTTTTCCGACTTCCACTTTGTACATTAAATTTTTAAATTCTCTAATAGATAGTATATTCGTAACAATTCTTTGGAATTACGTTCGTACGAAGTGGACGGCTGTTACCGGTACGACGGACTTAGCTCGCAGATGGCAGAGTTCCAGTGACTTCTGTGTTCCGCAAGGCGAGCACCTAATGGCTGCTCGACTGGTGTGCTGCTATTAAAGTCCGTCAATACCTACAGTCCGAACCTGGGTCCGATTACTCGGTGGCGTCAACGACGTGGAGTAACATACAAATCTATTATACATATCTATTAGAATTCATTATTTGAATGCTCATCCTGTGTTAATGTTTATTGCGTTTAATGACTCATCATTATTGTTTCGGTTATTTTCAATCATAAATCTTTAAAACAACCAATCGCGTATATAACTTGGGACTTGGTGCCATATTATGTAACTGGTCTCAAAACAATTTTTCGATACATATTTGTCCTAGTAATTTTACCGACCACTGCTTTGTACTTTCAATTTTTAAATTCTTAGGCTACATTACTGAATGCTTTGTGAGAGATGCTTATTATTTTCCGAACCTTCGTCTATGACATATCGTGTCAATATAAAATTCTTACACACAATCCTTGGCACTTTCCCTAATATGCTCTCGTAAATCGACGATTTGTATTTATTGAGATATAATGGAAACTTCATGAAATATACTTCAAATCGTTATAAAATTATCGTTCTAATATTTAGTATACCACGTATGAAGCCATGTAGGGCATACTCATAATATGAGATTTCTAAAGATCATTTCGAAATAGCAAATAGGAGATAATAATAATTATAATATGGGTATTTCCATCCATTCCGAAGTAAAAAATACTAAAAATATATTTTGATTAATATTATAGATAGGTAAAATGTAAGTTACTTGAAGATCTTGAATCTTTTGTTTTTCATCACCGCGTCGAATCATTTCTACATAATAATGATTATTTTAGATACATATTTGTTTAATATTCGAAAATATTAATATTAGATATAGGTATCCGTCATATTATTATGAAACAACTACCTTCCAACTTGGTCAATCTATTTTCCAATTGCAGATTTATTTCTATCACTTTTTGAAACTGTTCAATGTCAATACAACCGGATACAGCTGCCGGGTCTAAATTGACTTGAACACTTGCGTTGATAGATTTCTCACTCACGCTTACCTAAAGCATAAGAATAAATAATAATCACATATTATTTTATGGTACCAACGACCTACATCTAATAGATGCATCGTTCGGCCCTATATTATTATTATTAAAACATTTTACCAATTTCTTTGGCATGGTCTTCCGTGCGTCATAAAACGATTCAATCAGATGTCTCGTGTGTAAAAATGCAAACATCCCGACAACACTAACACGTACGACTCCTATGATAGAAAAATTAAACTCATAAGTCATAATATTCGCAATGCAAATGCTTATAAAGTCAGAACTGAATATAATAACACTCAAGTAAACTAAATTGCATATTTACACATTGTGTACAGGTATAGGAATACGTTGTTAGGTTTTCTTATTCAAGCCAGGAGACAAATAGTATAATTATTTTTAATCTCCTATGCGGTATGAGGAACGTGGAATAACATTTTCAAGACTTTTGATCCAACGAATTTTTTAATCGACATTAATTTAAAAAAAAAAAACAATAAAAATCTAAAATTGTATATACCTACCTATAACTTGTTCAACATAATCATTGAACATTATGAGTCAAAATATTTGGAAAGTTGATTTAAATCTATTATGCGTATGCCTATAAATTGCGCATAATTCAAAAATTGTGTGATGCATAGATATTACTAATATAATTCAGTGAAAATTGTAGGTACCTACTTTTTACGGTTTTTTTAGAGTTCCACTAGAAATAAAATTGATTTCAATTTTTTCGAACTATAAAACTTATACTCGCAGGTCCTTGGTTTTTCCTGAAGCCTTAAAAACTATTGGAACTTTTTACTTTTGAGAGTACCAGAGTACCTATTAGATTCACCTTCCTAGTTTTCATTTCGAGTTTGCGGGCGCCAATGCCCCCCTTCCCATTTTTATTTTTAAATTAAACTCTAGTTCAATTTTTTAAAAACACTTTTTAAATTTTGATAACCATAATATACTGCCTTATAAAAATTCATTGTTTCATGATCTAACTATTGTAAATAAAGCTATGAGTTTAGGAATACTGATATTGAAGACTGCAGTCTTTAATATTTGTTTTTAATGTACATTTCTTCATAAATTTATTTTATTTTGATTCTTAAAATTCATTTGCCTGCGGGATCCCATGCCCCCTTCCCATTTTTGTATATATATAACAAAATTATTTTATATTAAACTTATATTAAATACTAGCCGGATATATTCTGTAAAATACTTCTGTAAGTAGTATATTTCAATTGTGTATTACATAATATAATTTTAAATTCTACTATAAGTTATAAATACGTATAAACACAAATGATTGGTATGATTTTTGGACTCGAAATTATAAATAAGTTAGCGGCTATTTGTAAAGTGTTAGCAGCATATTTCAATTCGTAGCTCAAAAGAGGGTGTAGCATGAAGTTGCCCGCCATCTTATATTTTTCATACCTTGTAGGTAATTTATTTGCAAATTCTGAAAACCAATTTGCAAATGTTTGCAAATTATTTGCAATTTAAATGATAACATAACTTTTAATAAAGTTGGTCATGGGGTTGGGGCCAACTTCAAGCACATTGGCCTCCCAGATTTTTCCATCTTTTGTCCGGTTTTTTTTTTATATTTTTACCAAGTTCCAATGATTATACATAGTATATAAAGCGTTAGACCAAATAACTATACATTTTTCAGGAAATGTTCGATAATAAAAAAACATACAATTCATGATATTTCAATAAAATAATAAAAGTTAGCAGTACGTGTGTCACAGCCGACCGATACACACGTGTGTTACCGTCAGTCGCTTATCGCANAAAATAATAAAAGTTAGATATAAAAAACAAGGGGTGCTAAAAACCTTTTTGCACCGCCCTAGTTGCGCCACTGCTCATAGGGTAATATTAATTTAATAAACACAATTAAAAAGCAAAACCAATTTTTGGTTTGCTGATTTTGTTGTACACAATCAATAATCTGATCAGCTATCATATCGAATAGATAGTTTTTTGCATTTTAGACACACCCATTTTATTGGTTTTTTTATATCAACTTTTGTTGTTACAGAGGACCACGCATTATTTTCAAAAAAGCGTCTAACCAACATTTTTAATTTTCTTTTTGCTCAACAAGTAATTTTAATTTTTTATTTGTTTTGAATTGTTTATTATTTAATTAATGATGACATTTTCGTGGTATCGACAGGAATAGTTAAGTACTAATATCGGAATCTGAGTCTGATACGGGTCGGTACTCGGTACATATTGCTTGTATATTGCACGATGCACGTGTAACTTCTTGAACACTCAAAATTGACAAGATACCACGAGCATATTAAAATAGTCCGATAATAGCCCGTTACGTATCGATACACTCCAATTTCTTCCTCGAAAATCTTGATTTTACCACATATATTATAATCTATTCTGTGCTTTTAGTATTGAATGACAAATTCTGAGTGTTAAAAACCCATGTTTGGTTATACATTTTTAAATTCTTTCACGCTTGTCTGCAAAAGTTTTTCCATAGACTTGAGCTGGGGACGCCGATAAATAATAAAAACGACAGCTTCAATTAGTTGATATTCCCAGGTATACAATATATTTAATTGAAGTATTGAATTGTGTTGACCAAAAAACTCGGCTTGAAAGCGTCGATAGAAAATTCAAATTAACGAAAAATAATGTCATTTCAAATACAATATTTAAATTTTTGATTTTTCGCCGTATTAAGAATTTAAAATACAACGCTATACATCATATTATATCGCTTAGATTCACACCTATGAAATACAGTAATACCTTAACCCTAAATGGCCTATACATAATAATATGTAAGTCGATTAATTATACATTTTTGTTGCTTGTCAAATAATATAATATGATATTATAGTGATATGAATAACTGTTTCTATTAAACTATTAACCTAACCTGCCTATATGGTAATACATTGAAATGAAATATATAGTAACGTAGGTATTACTGTGTAGAACGTGTAAACATGGTAGTTTCTGCTTAAGTCAAGCGAGTCAATAGCAGACACATTTGCATATCGCACACAATTAAGGTATGAATTTATGTAAGCGTGAAGAGGTCACATAATATTATAATATTATATTGTATACAGCTGGCTGCTGATATAGGCAACCCTCCCAGTGCCGTTTTGGGCGGCTCAGTGTTGTAGTTTTTAATTTCATTGTTTCCGGGACAATTAATATATACAGACTGATGGACGTTTTCTAGGCGTAAAAAAAAATACAAAACACATCAGTGTTATAAACATTTTTCTCATTGTACATAATATTAAATAATATATTGTTGAGTTATACAACACACACACAAAGCCCGTTTTAATAACTCTATACATATGGACATATACAATGTATACATATAATAATAATTGATGATAATAATAATAATAATAATATAATTATGATAATAATAATATGTCGTACAAAAAATAATAATAATAATTAATAAGTATAAAATAAAGTCGGGTGTGAAATCGTCGTTTACAAACTGTACAAAAACGAAAGAATCGAGCGGGTAGAACGACAAAAAATTGTATGTAATAATAATAATAATAAAAACAACATGTTTTACTAAATAGTATTTATATTTATATATAATATATATATAGTACAAATAATAATAATAATAATAATAATAATAATGACAATTTATTTATACAGAAGTTAATAATATTAGTTATTATTTAAAAGTAATATATGGACATATTTTATTCTGACCGATTTTACGGGGATATTACAAAATATTACAGAACATAACACTTTTATACCTATCGGTCGAATAACTGGGTTTTTTTTTTTTGATATCAGCTAATTGTTTGATAATTTTTCATTTTTATACAAGATGATAAAAATATATTTTATTAGTTATTAGATACTACATAGGTACCATAACATTTTTACACTAATAATATAAAGGAATTATAGGATGGGTTTGCGCGGATGGGACGCTATAATTTAATTTTGATTGTTTAAATTATTTTAATGATAGTTATAACATTGTAGTTTTGTAAGACAAACCAAAACCATTAGAAAAAAAGTATTGAAAATGATAAGAGTAAAAATAAATGAAAACTGGCAAAAAGTCGTAAGTCGACATAATATCATAGTATAATATTGTATATGGACGGAACACAGTGAAACAGCAGTAACTATTAATTATTATTATTCATATTATATTCGGTTGTAAAACGGATCTATAGATTAAAATATTATCATTACATTTGATAAAAGTATTATTATTATTATTATATTTAAGTCATTCCTCCTGTTCGTTGTTCCGTTTAGGTTCGAAAATATTTTGTATAGTACATTTTTCTTCGCGCGTAAACGAAACTATATTTGAGATATAGACACAGGCTGAGGTAGCGTTATTCATTAGTATCATAATAAAGTATTAAATCATCAGTTAAGATTATTCTAAAACTATCAAATACATGTATCAATCATAATGTCATAAAGTACATTATGCCAGTTTTGAAAGGGAAAAAATTATACGACTCCTGGGGCAGTGATTATACAAAACAATAGAATAAATTAAGACGATGCATAATATAATCGAAAAATTGGGGAGGGGATTCAATACATTTCTAAAAAGTAAAACCTATACACGTTTTTTATCCTCATCGACGCTCGATTCACGGGAGTCAAAAAACTGGTAAATGGTAATTAATAATTATCAATATTTATTTTGTTTTTTTTTTTATCACAGTTAATTTTTGGCAGACGCTTGCCTGGTCTGCCGTTAAAAATATTCATACAATAATATTAAACATTTTTTTTTTATATTATTGATATAGATAAATAATCTTATTGCAATTTTCAACGTCCTTTGCTAAACAAATTTCCGTATTACGTATCAGTAATCGTTCAAGTTAACTCGAAATGCGAGTAGCCTGCCTATATTATAATAGTTAATTTACATTTTTACAAATATTTTACAATACAATAATTTATATTATATACGGGACGATCGTAAAAATACAATAATTTATAAAAACTAAAAAAACAGTCTGGTTGTACAGAAGACAACAATAATATGTACACAATAACGTTTTATTCTTCTTATTTTATTTTCTCATCTTTCTTTCATTTTTTTACACATAAATGTACACAAAATAGTTAACACTAAACACACAAAAATAAAAAAATACTTAAGTAGGGTGGTTGAATATAATTTACAATATAAATAATTGTACACGATAACATCGTATCCTTGAACTCGTGTGCAATTCGAAGAAAGAGCCGTACTCGATCAAAAAAAAAAAAATCATACGCACGTATACGATTTATATTATATAATATATTGGGTGTATTAATTACGAAATCAACCAAAATTTCACAATATTTAAGGAGGATTAGCCACTAAATCGTATGTAATATACGTTTAAAAAAAATTGTTCTTCATAATACAATGGCCGGTATATTAAACGATTGGGAGAGTTTGATGGCATCGTTGATTCTGGACAAGGGGTGGTGGTGGATAGGGGGTTGAACAAATAGTTCAAACGTTTTCGTAATAATGATGGCGAGGTGGGGAGGGGGGGAGTATACAATATCTAGTTAATTTACACACGCGATAGGTATATTGTTGGATATTATAGTGAGTGTGAGTCATTGAGAAAAAAAAATATACGATAGGTATGATGTATAAACATGTTAAACCGTACTTACAGAGATAACGTAAAATAGTTATATAGTAATAATTAATAATAATAATAATAATATACAGGTACAGTCTAGGTCATATCGAATGGGGGGAACAAAAAAAAAAAAAATGTATTATTTTAATATTAAGTCTCGACGTGCCGTCGTCATCGTCATAATAGTACGCGTGTCATCGTTTGTTCGAATATACATTTGATATAATATATACATTGATACAATACTATTACTTTATGCAATAATATCATATAGGAACCAAAGGTCGCCACAGCCGACATCTCTACGACGATGCACCGACGTGTCCGGTTTTTTGCTCCATTACACGAGAAAGCCCTCGGACAGGTTGGCCGAGAACTGCGCCCGCATGGCCTGGATGCTGTTCATGATCTTCTTCTGGTGGCCGACCAGCGTAATGCCCAGCGCCGTCAGGTCGGCTACCGTCAGTCGGGCCACCGCCTTCGGGCTCACGATGCCCGCCTGTTCGAAGTTGTCCAGGTACCTGGCCATTTTTATGGAGCACAGCCATTCGTTCACCGAACCGAATTGGGTCATGTCCGGCGCGTCCGAGCTCAGCGGGTTTACGGACCTGCAAGGCAACACCGATAACATTATAATACATTGTTATTATTAAAATAAATATTATATTAACAAGTCAGTGATGTCATATTATAGTTTTGATACAAATTATTGTACATTACACGCCGCATATCCGGACGATATATACCCAGGTACGCGAGTGTATAATGTATAGCAGTGGCGAAAATAGGAAAAAAGTCACCGGGTGGGTGGGAGGCCATATTGAGTCCCTCAAGCGTTATATCGTTTCAATATAATATACGTTTATTTTAAGTAGAATATTGTTACTTTTTTGTTGTTGTATATTTTAGGGTTAGATTAAGTTAGGATTAAGTCTTTAGGATAGGGTCATCCCCCTATTCGCGCCACTGCGTATAAATCAACGTATACGCGGCAGAAAGATTATTAACTATCGTTACTATATTGACAAGATATACGATAAGTGGCGTGGTGAAGGGGTCTTTAGGGATTTTTAAGGGGCGCCGTTGTATGCGTCTATAATCTATATAGACTGCAGTATTATGCAAGGCGCGCTGACGTTTGTATTATGAATTGTTGTGCTTTGGAATGGTCGAATTGAAAATACCTCGTTATCGATAGCCAAAAAATAAAAAAAAGCATCTGCAGATGGAGGGTTAGGATCAGACGCATAAACCTCCCGCTCCCTCAATGCGGTTATTTATATCACATCCATGATAAGAAGAGCTGATAATTATATTATAAAATGTTCGTCTCTGATAATATAATCAATAAATCACCACGTCACCATTGACATTACATCAAAATGTAATGCATCGTAGGAATACACCAGGTTAGTACATATAGTACATATACCTAATATAATATGTATAAGCAGGGCGATGAGTATACTTTTACGTGAGCTATATTTTATAATGCACTAACAATGCATTATATTATATGTAGGTGTAGGACACTCATTTTCTTGGTCGATATTTGTGATTTTGAAAGAATTTTTACGTTGTTTTAAATAGGTGCTTTCAAATATCACCCACTAAGTCTTTATAACAAAATCTATCTTTTACTTTACTATTTTGTACATAAAATCGGTTGTTGTTATTTTTTTATGTCAAACTACATTTTAAATTTCGTAGGTACTTAGAACCGAAGCTATTTAAATTAGATGGTTGTGGGCACTACTTAACAAGCTAAAACTATTAACGTTCTACTGTAGCTAACTTTCTTACTAACCTTTCTAGCTATATTGGTTTTACATTCGATACTTATAAAAACATCAACATTTTAAAAATATGATATTAAAAATGCGTCTTACTATATAGTCAAACACATATTGGTATTAAAAAATACACAAAATATCTAGGCGTGGCAAAAATTAATATAACTTATTGCAGTTATTTACATACGATTTACAAATCACAATTCGTAAATACAATTTTTTTATCAATATCACAAAATTGGGTGAGGAAGCAAATCATTTACAGCGTTAAATGGATCTACTTCATAATACACAAACACAGATAGTGAAACTATATGGAGAATAATTGGAGATCCACCAAGTATACCTTAACCTAAGAAGAATTTGGGGGGAGGGGAGGGACGAGTATACCCGGTGAATCTCACTCTTTATATGGAGACGATAACGCGCGTTATCGTTCGGCGGGAAAAACAAAACAGCAACATTATACTATACAAATTGTGATATTAAAAAAGCGTATAAGCGGCGAAGGACTTTGGGAAGCGGTTGTTGTGGGAAAATAAACCGAATAGGTTAATTATATTATATTATATGTACACACTGCAAGGACATGATGGGTAGGTACATCATAGGGGTATAATATTAATTGGAGGGCGCCGATTATTAAATCGTATAATAATATTAATATTATTTGCATAAAGCACCGTGTGAATGACCGCAGACGGCGGCGCTAATAACTGATGATGTCGACAACAACAGTAATAATAACGATGTTGATGATGGCGATGACGATGACGAGTTAAGTCAGGTGAAAGGGGAAGGGCGGGATCGTGTATATATAATAAATACTAACTATATTTGTACAGATATATATATATGTATTTAGGTGTGGTATATACGTACATACATACATACATACATATATATTAATGTATAATATATATGTACGTAACGCCATAACGGGTATTACCTTTTCGCGGATAGCCAAACAAACGGTCTCTCATTCGTGATGAAACGACACCCAATCCGAGCCACACTTAAATACGACCGGCACATAATACGGGTTAACAGGCGGCGGACGGCTGTCCAAACATGCAAAAACCCAATGCGATTGTTAAAGATAAAATAATAATAATAATAATAATAATAATAAATTAAAATAAATAATCGTACGTTAACAAAAAAAAAAAAGAGTTTATAATACCAATAATATAATCTTCAACGGCGGTAACATAATACAAACGATTTTAAACGTTGAAACGAAAAAAAAAATTGAAACATAATATTATTATTATTATAATACATGTATATTAAATGCGTAATACCGTCGACATCAGCAGAAACCAAAGCTGAGACAGGTAATTTTGAATAAGAAGATGCCAGGACAGTATATATTATGATGATGATGAGGTGGAAGGAAACGCGCTCGAGTGGATGTTGCAGGTGGACGCGGTGTACTCGTATATATTATATAATTTATAATATATCAACGTGACGATTTTGAGAGGTTTGACATCCGTCACAAACATATTATATGTACACGAAAAGCTTGATATAATAAATTTAATAGCCCAGTTATACAGAGTGCTCCCGATGGGTGAGAAGGAAGTGTGTGTGTGTGTGTGCTCCGGAAGGGGGTCGACAGAAATACGCATGAATTGTACAGAGACAGTGATAAACAGGTAGAGAGAGATAAGGAGAGAGAGAGAGGGAGAGAGAGTGAGGGAGAAAGAGACGTGCGCAAAGTTCTTTTCGGATTAATATTATAACGTCGCGGTGACTCGCGACGGATATATATATAATATTATTAAAGTCTTACGTCGACTGTATAATAAAAATAATAATAATAGTTGTCGTCGCCCGTCCGGGACGGGGGTGTATGATATACTGTATACCGCCGAGAGTTTATCTTCTTTAAATTGGAATACCTACGAAATAATATGTAAGACGAAATGTCATTATTCCAATGGTGGCGGGAGAGGGGGGGCGATGTGTACGTATATCACTCGAAAACGTTAAACTTTCACCGGAGGTTTTCGGGCGGAAAAGTTTTTGCCACTATTGGCGCACGGCAAAAGAAGATTATAATGGTCTCCGGGGCCAGCGAGACGCGCACTCGAACTCCACGAAATGCGTCCGACAACTCCGGCATTTATGACGATTCTACCTAACGTACGTTTCGGTTGGTTTTCAGCGCACTATATAAGGTCACCTCATCCCTCTCTCCGACAAGTTTCTGGGACGGAAGTGATTTTAAGTTGGATTTTCTGACTGTGGTATATATTTATGTACACATTATAATATGCGAATTTTCTATATGATTCACTATAGGCGTTATAAAGTCCTCAGACGAGTTTTTCGATCCACTCAGACAGCGAGATACCATATAATAATCAGTGGAATGAATTGGGAAGATATAAATAGCTTTCGATTTAAAAAGATATAGAAGCTATTATAGCTATTATTAAATCATACAGCGCTACAATGTTTTGAAACGTTAAATGCACAGAGGGAGCAGTCTGATACCTAGAATACCTAATACAATATTATTTTATTTTATAATAAGTAATAACTCGAAAGACAATTAACACAAACGAGAGGGGCACGAGTCGGAAACAATGCTGAAAAATAAATTACGAGTACGGTACCTATAGGGTACTGAAAACAAATATCTGGAAATTCTTTTCAATGATTGTTTTTAAAGTAAAAACAAAATGTAAAAAAATATGAAACTTAATTTTTTCCGACGAATGATGAGATCAAACGAGCAATTCTGATAACATTATATTTCTGCAAAGGTATTAAATATCAGGGAAAGAATGTCATATTCAGCAATAAATACATCCACCGTAAAAAATGTTTTCCAGTAGAAATCTTTTCGCCAACGTGTTAATAAATTAAAAAAATAAAACAAAAAGATTCAGATTAGTAAAAATATAATATTTTTCTAAATATTAGAATATGAAATTGCTTATTTTTTTATCTGTATAGTAGCAGGATTATACGGTTTTGTAAAATTCTTTGAAATAATATTGAATAATAATAATAATAATAATGTTATACAAAAACAGATATTTTCGAGCTATAAATATAATTCACATAGTTAGTGCATTCATAATCTTGATAAATATTAATTAATTGGAGATAATCCGCCATAGAATGATTCCATAACAATAATAATGAACGAAGCGAATACTAATGAAAAAATGAAAAATCAAAGCTTCAATCAGCAGTGGCATCAAAGTATATAAAAAAAATATACAAAACATATTACTCAAAATATGAACGAATATGCAAAGCCCAAGAGAAATTAAAATAATGTATTATGAAACCGAATAGTAGATCGGAATAAATAACGATTCCATAAACACGATAAATAATTGTTTCCAGTACAAAATTTGAATAATTAATTCATCGGAGGAAATCGATATTTTAAATTTCGGTCTACTATATAAAGTTAGTGAGAAAAAAAAAATAAAAGAAGAAATAAACCATTATCAATAAAAGGTTTTTACCTATTTTGGGCGATCCGCCTGAGTGTGTCCGGACACCTTATGAGCTTGTCGAGCGTTTTTACGATGGACAAGAACATAGGTCGGTGTGTTCTCTCCTTTTGCCAGCAGTCTAACATCAACTGGTATATAGTTTCCGGACAGTCCATGGGCGCCGGTAACCGGTAACCTTTTTCGATGGACTTGATCACGTCCTGGTTACTCCAGTTCCAGTAAGGACGTTCACCGTACGACATCACCTCCCACACGACAATGCCGAACGACCATACGTCCGATGCGGAGGTGAATTTACGGAATGCTATGGCTTCGGGTGCGGTCCACCGGACCGGTATCTTACCGCCCTGGAAATTCGAAAACTGTCAATAAACACACAACAATCCGGTTAGTCCGTCGTTTAATACAAAATCTGAAAATCATTATTGTAATTAGGAGGTAAGCGTTCTCCATAAATCGACTTACCCTCGTCGTGTACGCCCCTTCGGTGGTGCTTTCGATCTCTCGACTCAGACCGAAATCTGCTATTTTACACACCAGCTGGGCGTTGACTAGTACGTTGCGAGCAGCCAGATCACGATGTACGTAGTTCATTTCGCTAAGGTATTGCATGCCGGAGGCGATGCCCCGCAACATGCCAACCAACTGTAGGACTTGAAACTTTCCGTCGTTAGCCTAAGTTAATTAGCATAAATACAGATTATGACACATTATACAATTTTCAGTCCGGACGACCGCGACTTTGTTATAATTAATAATGATATTATATGTAATTTTAGTAAGCGCTTACTCTCAGGAACGTATCCAATGAACCGTTTTCCATGTATTCGGTGATAATCATCACCGGGTTGGATCGGGTGACGACGCCTTGCAGGAATATGACGTTGGGGTGTTCAAATTGTCCCATGATTGAAGCCTCGGTCAGGAAATCGTTGCGCGCTTTGTCCGAACTACCAGGTTTCAGAGTCTTGATGGCTACATCGACTTCGACGGAAGGCGATCCGAGAACTTTTAATTTTCCCCGACATACGTCCCCGAATTCTCCACCGCCTATCAGGAAAAACAACATACATTGTTTAAAAGCACGTTCGATTGATTGCGGTATATAATGGTAAATAGTTAAGAAAGTATGTTGAGGTGGCAGTGGTATTTATATAGATATAGTCATCATTAAGACTAGAAGTTTCACGCGTGTCGATACATTTTTCAAAAAGTACTAACTACTATTTGATGCTCGTTTCATAACAAATGTCGTGTTAAATAAACAATAGAACTTTGTTTACTATTCTTTTGAGTACATGTCACAATTTAATATCGTTGTCATGGACAATTTTATATTGAAATACTATTTTGAGTTATTAGCTCGTAGAAAAAATCCTATTATGTACAGTGAGTTGTTCATTATAGATGTCCATCCCTATTAATTATTATAATTGGCGTCACTCACCGATTATTGCTTCAATGGTGATATACGAAGCATCAATTTCTCTGGCGAACTCTTTAACTGCTTGATTTGGGTCTTCGTATGTATGCGGGTCAATATACGATCTAGACGTAGTCGAGCCAACTTGTGTGAACAAAGGTGTGGTCACTGTAAAATACACATAGGATAAATAAAAATTTGATTGGATTCATAAAAATTCGTTGTTAATGAAAAAAAAAATAAGGCGCAAAAGTGGAAAACTATTAGCCATGGACTTACTGCTGCTAGTGTGAGTGGCAACTATGGGAGGATTGTCCAAATTGCAATGCACTGGAAAACAAAAACAAAACACAAGTGTTCACACCAAAAGCACAAAGCAGAATGCAGGCAAACAAAAATAAACAAAAATGTTAGCATCCGTCAATCAGCAGTTTGCGCCCGATGGTTATTAGGACAAAAAATAATATTATTATGTAAATGGATATACTAAGAGCAACATAATACACGGATAGAGGGAGGTACAACAATAATAGGCAATACTCAACATTTAAGTAAAAACAAAAAATAACAAACAAACTAACACATTACTGTCATTACTACTACACGGATCTAATTAATTTGGAGTAGGCATACTTGAATGAAAACAGAATAAAGAAAACGCATAGTTGTTATTGAGGTATATAAAAAACGAATGAAAAAATATCTATTAATTATCTAGGGAAAACTATATAATACACTTACTGTAGGTAACAACAAGTCCTTGGGATGCATGTAAAACACACGAAAACATGAAAACTAGGTAGTGCACGTTAATTTATGGGGATACAAAAGGTAAGTCGTGTGGAATTTTACTCTCAACTAAAAGGAGCGAAGGTTATTAACGACGTGAGTTACAGTCTCCGAATAGTTATTTATATTTTTACTTGTAAAATTAATTAATGCAATGTGGATCCTAGATGTTTATTTATTTTTATTTTTAACTATATAACCGCCAAAATACACGGTCTTCTTACCTTCCCCATTCCTGTATTCTAAAGTGTCGCAATCACTTGGTTGTTTTTTGTTGCATTCATCATTACTCCGGCTGAAAACGAAAATAGGAAATGTGTTAAGTCACGGATGTGATTACTGATTACTTTGTCAAAAGCTTCACATCAAGTGACACAGCAATGAGAATAAAAACAAAAACAACGCACCTCCTTAAGAACAATACCGTCATGATGATGACAACTACTAAGACCACCACTACCGCGACCGTCGCACCTGCGATTATTCGGACTTCCATGTTGTCTTCGTCACCGATGTAGGCTACAATGGATAAAGAACACAAAAACAAATCGTTAGCGAATGACATACTTGCAATTCGAGCAGCCGGACTCAAAAAAGGGACGACGGCCTCTCATTCTCAACAATCAATTTGTTTTACCCGTATCATCTTTAATCCCGTTTTTTCTTTGGACTTGTTGTTGTGTGTTCTTACCGCTTCCGAGCAATTGCCCCGTCGTTTTGTAAATAGTCGGACTGTACTCGCCCCAGCCGTGAGCGGTCTTCGCTCGCACTTGGAATCCGTAGTCCGTCTTGGGCCTGAGTGCCGTAAACACCATGTGCCTGTCGGCGGTAAGTTTGTTGCTGACGTTTGACTCGTCACCTCGGGGATAGAACTTCACCTGTGGGTGGTGGGAATACAAAATATGCAACATTAGGAAACGGCTACCTATCAAACATACGGCGCTTATCATTTGAGGGTAAACGCAATACATACTTCGTAAACTTCGACGGCAGCGTCGTCATCGCCAGAATCGAAGAAGCTCGCCATGGGCGGATCCCAAGATAGCGTGATCTCGGACGCCTTTACCAACATGACACGGACATTGTTGACGGACGCAGACTTAACGGAAGCTTCTGTAGTGGTCACGGCTATGTCGACGAATTGCCGGTTTTCGGACGACGTTAGATTACTGACACCGTTTTCGGCCCATACGTGAAACTTGTACGTGGTGACCGGACCCAGACCGCTGATCGTTATTTTGGTATCGTTGAACACCTCCTGAAAAAAACCACACGCGATCATATAATAATATGTACACACAATGTATAGCCCATCCATATAATATACTTGTATGGTGAGCGAGTATGCACGATTAAATCGTAGAGAGGGAGAGAGAGAGAGAGAGAGAGAGAGAGAGAGAGAGAAGAAGATTGGGATGAGTGGACATAATATATTTTATCTACATAGAAGATATTCTGCCTTCATAATACTCACGTTGTTGGGCATGAACACAACGGATGGACCGCACATGTCGCATGTCACTCTGTACACGATATCGGTCCTGCCACCGAGGAAGTTCGGTGGGTTCCACGACAGGGTCACAGTCGACTGGTCCACAAAGTTGACTGTCAAGTTTTGCGGCGCTGACGGCGGTTCTATATTATACGCAAAAACAAAAAAAAATAAATATCTTCGTTTATATATCATATTATATTGTATAAAATATATTATATATTGTTGTTGTGAACGCACGAGCATCAGTGGAGGATATAATAATATTAATATTATTTACGGCCGTAAGGTGAACAGGTAAATTCTAAATTTACCGAATGCAAGCATAGGAATATAGGTACGCGGTCGTGGTAAACACAAATGGAAGAGAGAGATAGAATGATAGAGAATGAGAAGTGGACGGATAGACTGGAAGCTCGTTTAATAATAAAAATAAAAATAATAAAAATAATAATAATAATAATATGAAATGGCTTCCAATGAATATATAAATATAATAATACAACTAACTGGCTCCGAATACGCGTACGAGCCGTAAATAATAAGAGCAGGTCGGCGAGGACAATTACCCTTCGCGCGTATGCAACTATATCCTTTTTACATGTTGTATACGTACAGACGTGTAGTTATCACGCATATATGCAGTACATAATGTGGTACGTTCTGCGCCGCCGTAATAATAATTATTAACGAATACACACAACAACGGCCGCAGGGTGTCCCGCACCGCTCGCGTAGAGGTACACGCACGATTAAGTGTATCGTAAAATTTCGATTTCGTATTTATATATTCACGTACAACACGAGTGCACACCACTGCAGTGTATACCACACCACCAATCTACGTTATAAAATACACATCACTAAGTCGGGACGTCGATAGCGGCAAAGGCCTCTGTATAAGCCTAAGTGTACAAAGTGTGTTGTGTGCGTGCACCGAATTCGTTATTTGTTGTAACGGGACGGACAGATATTATATACGGCGTCGTCAACAGAGGCGGGAATCTATATACTTTCGAAGCACAAAACGCAAACATTTGCCGCTGCGACTACGACGTCCACCGGAGTGATATCCGAATACAAATAAAACGACGAGACGAGACGAGTACTAAGTTCAGGGTCATCATTTTCTCCTTTTGTCGAGGTCGACTTCACTGGGTAAACACGTCCTCTGTTTAAATATTCACAGAGTCTTTCCCGTCGTTACTATGTATGTATATATGCATCAATGCATGTGTATATAATATATATATACATTCTTAACTCTTCGTTTCAGACTTAAAAGAATAATAAACTCACTTTTTCTTTCGTTCGCCACTTCTGCTACCACCACCCACTCGCCCAGAGACGATGATTATTTTTGTTGTCGTACTACCTACCCAAAACAAGTTGGAGCAGCACGCCACCGCCCCTTTTATACATGTTCACCGTTGTCAAATAATTAGCTAAATGCCAGCAAAGGAAAATTTGATTTAGTCGAAATGTCATAGCAATGTGTTTCTTTTCATTTTCGTCGATTGATACAACACAACTAAAATTAAATTAACATACCACATACGTATGTATGCATGTACTAAACTATTTATGTATACTAGCCGCCCCCAAGAATGTTAAAGAATTGGTGTACTATTATTACTATTATGTTTTAGCATTATTGGAAGTCCATCGAGTAAAGGTATTTTTCATTTATTCGAAAAAAACCAAATAATAATAAAAATAAAGAATATATCGCTTCTCATTGAATGAAATTTTTTAATTGCAGTGCAAAAAAAAGAAAAATGAAAATCATAAAATTTAACGGGTATCACCTCCTCAGCAAACGCACGCAAAACGTCGGGAGCCGAGTTACTTATATTTTCATTAAAAATAAAAATAATAACAGAAAACTCTTGGGAAAGGAGCAATGGTGTTGGTGGTAAATGTGCGCGGTTGGTAGTTTTAATTATTAAAAACCAAAAAGATTTTAATGAAAATAATTCTTTATAAACAACCGACTGTGACGGCGGCGGCTACGTACTTTTTTGCCCCCTTTGCTGAGTGCGCAATTTCCGGACAATTTATTATGGCTTAACCTCTCGGGATAAAAAACGGGAAACGAAAGAATGAAAGAAATTTCGCTTAAAGTAATCTCGTGCGAAACCACTACGCTCTTCCGCCAACGTCCGTTCCCCAACCACCTGCACCAATAGCACCGCCGCCGCCGAAGCAGTCACAGTCGCGCGATCGTATGAAAAGCGATTGGGATTTATTCGTCAATTGAAATCGGATATAAATAATAATGCGACGACGGATAATAACTTTTACCGACTGTAATATATATAAAACCTATTACGGATGCAAAAAAAAAAACTATTATGGAAAAAGCCAAAAGAAATATATACTGCTGCCTCCGTCTCAGCCTTTGACAGATTTAAAAGGTTTTAGCCGCACGGTCCCGGCGCCGAAATGAATTCTGTAGATAGAGGTTTTCAAGTGTAGATAAAAAATATATATACATGTATGTTTAAATATATAGTTTACACACACACACATTCCCGTATAATAATGCTTTGTGTCACGGGAGTTTTTTCTTTCTTATTTTTTACTCCTCTCGTCGGCAGTCTAACGCAATCAAGTTCTCGTAATACGGAGAAAAATGAATTAATACCCCTCAAACGCAACGCCGGAAGAAGAGCGAAATCTTCTGCTTCATACAGTATAGTATTACGGTGAAATGTTCCCGGATTATTGACAAAACACACTATACCAAGCGAATCGGTCTAATTATTATCAACAAGCTTACGGTGACGAGTGAGGTAGGTGTTTTACGTGCCACGACGTCGTCGACGTTCGAGTGTTAAACACTTCAGCGAGGGATAAAAAAAAATACTTGCTTTGTCGAACTCGAAACCCGAAAATAATTAGCCAGCAAATCATAATTTTCTAACCACTGGTTTTTTTTTGCACAACCGCTACACGTATATATATATTATATATATATGTATAGGTATTTACACGACCACTATAATGTACAACAGTGCGCGCAGTGTATGTATATGGAGTACCGACTTCCTTGTGCGGAGAAAAAATCGTTCTCTTCACCACACCAGACGTGCTCTCTACACGACAACGATATATATCCACGTACGTCGCACACACATAATAATAATAATAAAAAGTGGTGTATACGAACAGACAAAAAAAAAAAGAGAGGTTGGGCTGCCGCCGTCACCGCTTTGTATACTGCGGCAACAGCATTTTTGAAGAGTTCGTCTGGGTAGGTCGTGCCGAGGCGACTTTTCTCATTATATTCCATGAAACATAAAAGGATGCACATCCCTTTTAGGTTTTTAAGCTTTGTAAATTCAGTATGCATACATGTATGTATGTATGTATATATAAAGTACTTATGTACACGCAGAAGTTGTAGCATTCGAATTGTATATTTGATATTATTTCTAAACATAATGAGATGAATAAGATTTAAAAGTAATACAAAAGTTACGAAAAGTAAACCAGATTCAATTGCTGAAAAAAACTAATAATTATTTTTACATTATAACGTTGAATATTGTGTGGAAAATTCGTTTTTTGATTATATTTATTGAGAACGAATTTGCGTAGGAGATGTTTTGCATCAGAGTCCATGACAGTGAGAGAGAATCCAGTATTAGATTCCATTAATAATATATATATTCATTAGAAGAAAAAAAATAAAGTTTGGTTAAACTGAGCGAGTTTTTCTTTTAAATTTATAATTCCTAAGGGTTTACGAAAGTATGGGTACATATTTATACTGCATTCGAAAATATTTATATAGGAAAAAAAAATAATAAAAAAAATAAATACTCATATCGATCATTGTGACTCTCAGTGTAAACGTCCGTCGTCGTCGACGTTTTTCCTGGTCGGACGCACACGCGGGCCCTATTTTTTTCTTATTTCAATTCCAAACGAACGAACTGTTGTATACTTGTATGTACTATAACCCGCTGCCGGCACGATAAACATCTGCTGATAAGTTAAGTTTTCTACGTCAATCTGCGCAGGGCCGTGTTTACTGTCTTTAGAGATTTATCGTCGGCACAGCATTACGGTTTCTTTTTACCTCCCTACCCTCCACGCACAACTCACACATCCTATCACTCGTATATACTCTCCACCACCGTCACCGTCATCAGTCGTTCTTCACTAAAACGTCGTCCTCGGTGATGAGATAAACATCTCAAAAATAAGTGTAACCGAGAGAGCGCGAGAGAGGTTAAAGAGACAGTGCAAGGGGAAAAGAGAGACAACCCGATAGAAATTCAGGAACTCAGAAATCTACTGTATAGGTTTTATTTTAACGGACCAGACTAGTTTTTTTTTGTCATTCTCATACTCGCCCGTACCCCTCGGAGAAGAAGGACCCGTTATTGTGTCGTAGCCGACGAACCTTCGGGTTTTCTCAGTAGATAAACATCGGTGGTCGGATGACATGTTTTGTCCCAACAATGCATAACAATAGGATTGGATTTCGCACCAAATTCTTTGACCGAAATGATGTTATGTTATGTATACGTATATATATGAGTGTTATTTACTTATTGGGTTTGCTCGTCCGGATTATTGGTGAATTTTCGTTGTAGTCGTTTGCACGACAACAACAACGACAACAGCGTTAGCCGTTAGGTTCCTATCCCTTGGTTGTATACACAGTCTCACCTAAATTGCTCTACACGAGTCGATATACTGTTTGTATCCAAAAAATATATATATATAAATTATCAATTTAAAGGGAGTGGAAATTGTGTTTACAATCCGATAAGATCGTAACATGATTTATAAAATGATAGACATTTCTGTTGTAATTTTATCATGAAACTGTATATTTCGAAATCAACGTTTAAAAATAATAACAATCTAAAAATAATGTAAAATGTATATAGGAACAGCATGTATTAAATTCAATTTCCCAACTTTTTATTACGAAACATAATTTTTGAGATTGTAAATCAAATAACCAACAAAATGAATATCATACATTTGTGCGTTTAAAATGATATTTTTCATGTATGAAATAAATGAATAATTAGATAATAGTTTCACAAATAAAATTATTAAAATCAAAACAAATATTGACGTTTAATTGCGTAAATCGAATTAAGATAGGTTGAGTACCTATTTAAATAATTTACATTTTAAAGAGTAGAATTAAATTGTACCCTTATATCTTACTATTGGTACAGAACAAAGCAATTCGTTTGAAATTTAAAAAGTATATAATACAAATATTGACATGGCGTGGAACTAGTTTTTTTTTTAATACTTGTTTAAATAACTTTATCATAATAATGATCAAAGATGACGTTTTTGAAATTTTCTCGTTGAAGTGAACTTTAATACAAGACATTCAGTCAATAAAGATTGTATTTTAAACGGAGTCATTATAATATACGAAAGATGGATTTATTTCTTGCTTTTTCTAGTAAAGTACAATTATCTATAATAGGTTTCCAAGCAGCAATAGCGGCAGTGGTGACGTCGACATTTAAAGAATAATAATAAAAAAATACAATTTTCTGACTACAATAGAAGAACAGAAAAACGCAGAGTTAAACCTAATGTGTTTAAAATATAATAATATAGAAGAAAATATTTATGTATACTTTATTATTACGAAGTATGCTTAATAAATATATACATTTGAAAAAATCCTTGTGGAACAAATGCAAATATTATAAAGTTTCGGACGGCAAGTCGTTTACTTTGATGTGGTTCTGCGGGTTTATATATATTGCCTGCAGGGGAGGGTGTGATTGAGAGGGGGAGGGATGGATGGAGAGAAGACATGACGGCGAATGGTTATTATTAATATTGCCGAGTTTCTAAATGGCAGAGATTTAACGGAATTCGCCGGGCTTTTGATATAACTACCAAAATAATAACTGCTGGTGCTGTGACCGCGAGAGATCTTTCGCGACCACGACTTCAAAGTCGTTTAAATCCCACGCGGTTTAATGGAACGTCCTTTTTCAATTCCGTCCAAGAACAAATGACTGAACAAATTTAATTACACATTAAGCTGTACATACTTAAGCTGCACATTAAGCCGAACATGGCTCCCCTCTACCCACACGCGCAATTACCAGACGAAAAAACGAGCCGTCGCGGGTCGTAAGAGATTGTCTTCAAAGACAACGAACAGTATGCAATATACATATAATAATAACGAAACGGCTTTTTCACAGAGTCCGCGTGGTTTCTCGTTGGAGATGTACGACGATTTTAATAATAATCTCAAATAATATATTACAACATATTCAAAAGCGCGATGGAGCTCGTGCGTGCGCCTACAATATATATATCGTTATTATATTATATTGTAATATAATACTCACGCGTGCACGGCACCGATTTTGGGTCCTTGGGCGACCTGTAGTATCCGGTGTTGCACCTGCACTCGGACATCCCCTGGTCGGGCGCTTTGCTGTGCGCCGGACACGGCTGACACTTGTCGTCCCCAACGCCGTATTTGTACTTGCCCGGAGGACAGACTGAAGAAGAGAAAGAAAAAAAACCACATTAGTCAAACTGAGCCGCTTGTATCGTCATAAAAATCTGTTTCGTCGTATATATAGTACACATACATAATAATAATATTAATATAAACGCGCGTTCGTCCCGTGTGCCACGCCTGCGGTTCATTAAACTCCCGTGCGCTCGCGTTAATTGCTCACTACACACACACACACGCGCGCGCGCGCGTTTAAGCCCCTATATATTTGGCGGTGGTGGTGGTAATAACTGCCCTGAGGGGAGAGACGGCGAGCGATCTGGAAAGAGCGAGAGAGAGAGATAGTGTGTATACGTATATATACTATGGTATATTATAGAAGAATGATAGATGGAGTACACCGTTGTTGGCGTGTATTGGCGTTATATTAATAGAGACAAATTGTTTGTGGATGCGTTACACATACACACACAGACACACACACACATACAAACGCGTATAACCCGCCGACCCCTTTTCGATTAAGATTGATACCCCTGAGGATCGCCGTCACGATACATACACACACACACACACACATACACACTCATATATATATATATATATATAAATTCACGAGCTCTTCCAAGACCGGTGTATAATGTAGACTACTGCTATATATATTGCAGCGGAGCAGTAGCGAACATTTATCACCCTGTATATAATAACACACGTAGACGACCCGCCCGTGCACAGCGTACATATCCGGCCCGCGGGCCGTCGCATGGTTCGGAATATTAAAGTGCGACCACGATATACATCATATCAGTGGCGCCCAGACAGGTTAGCAAGGAGTGCAACTGCATGTGCTTTCGTGGGGGGTGGGTGGGTAGGTATAGTCTCTATGGTTATAGGTACCTAGATAAATTATAGGAGTAAACGAGTAAAGTATGACAATGCTATACGACAACTTATATGATGTTACAAGTTACTTATAATTACAACATATTAAATGATAAAGTATTAGAAACAGTAATAATTGTTATTTGTTATATCATCTGAATCAAGAATAATACAATATTCGAATATTAATGTTGTACACTGTTTAGCTGATACGCTCGTATATTTAATATTTAATATTATGAATTATTATATTTTTGTATACGTAATCAAAATGACAATACGGGTAATATGGTGATAAGATACCAATAACAGCGTATAT